ATTACTATTATTATTATATATACTGTTGCTGCCATTATTACTATATACTGCTATTATATTGGTATAATTACTATCTATATAAATATATATGATTGTAGTGGTACGAGGCATCACCAGCACACCTAACTCCGCTGCTGCCTTATTTGGCTTGTCTGCCAATCACCAGGCCGGCTGAAGCGATATAAGTAGGCCATGTCCCTCCCCCTGACCTCTCGCTTCCTGCCGCTTCGGGCCCTTCCGCTTCCAGGGCATTGTTGACTGCTCCCTTCAGGGCTCAGGTAGGCACACCTTAGCGTGCTTTTCGCGCACATTCGCCAGCATTGCATCTCGCTCACACTTTAATTAAACTTTCTGATAGGTCCGGCGTCTCCACTGCGACACCATCGAGTCATTTATAGCTGCTGATCAGCCATAGGTGAGTTACGAGAGCTCCCCGTTGCTAATTGTTTTAAGCCAGGTGCTAAGTCCTTTTTTTTACCCCTCTCCCTCTAACAGTCTGCTAGTCTGCATGTCGTGTGGTGGCTGTCTCCCCCCGCTACGCTGACTCTCCTTCATACCTCTCCCTCTTTGGACGGGACTAAAATCCACCGGACTAAGAACCGGACTTGACGAGTGTTAAAGTAAAGTCAGAGCCCTGAAGTAGCTGAGTGGTGACCGTTGCTTCAATGCCGGTCTGCTACCTCGCTGCTACATCGCTGCCATCTCGTTGCTATATCGCTACTACCTCGCTGCTACCTCGCTGCTTGGTTCGGGGTCCTGTCGGCTGTCTCCTGTCGACTCGCTTTTTGTTATTGACGCTGTTTCCCTCTGCGTGTGTGGTGCGTGTGAGAATTGACCAAGGTCTGGTGTAGGTTTGGTTATTTCTTATTAGTTTGGGTTGTTTATTGTTTTGTTTAGTTATTGTTTATTTTGGTTTATTGAGTTGGTGTCTCTGACCAGAGACTGATTTTCTTTTCTTTGCGTGATTTCTGATGAATTTCAATATTATTCTTCAGTTCTTTAAATTGATCAGTTATTAATTTGCTTTGTTTTTTTCGTTATGGGATTTGGTTTTCGTTGTTTGTGAGCCCTTTTAACAAGTGTTTGATTTCCCCCCTAGATTGGAAGACCGACGGTGGTGGTGGTGGTCCCCCCCTGGGTGGTGGCGATCCCTTGTGTGTGTGTGTGTGATTTCCCCCATTTAAGATTTCCTTTATGCACGTCACATTTTGCTGTGTGAGTGGGGTGTTCTCCTTTCCTTTGGATGTCATTCTCCTCGTTGACCACTCCTCCAGCCTGTAAGCCTTCATCCATCAATTCCCCCTTTTTGGTTGGGCTCCTTATTTTGTTTCCTTGTGCCAAACCCTGTGTTCATTTTAACTAATAAATTATTGTATGTGATTATTTAACTCCGTCTCCTGCCCTCCCTGAGTGAATGAACCTGAGTGTCCTTGTGTAAAGGTGATTATTGACCTTAAGTATGGGTCCTTGGGCCCTAACCCAAGGTGGCGTTGTTGGTGTTTTAAAAGAAAGATCCTCTGATCCGAACTTAAACTAATTTAATTATGCTCGTGCCGCCACATTATGTTATATTATATACTATATATACTGTACTATTTTTATATACTGTCTAACAATAACATTACCATCATATCATCAGTACTATTACCATCATATTGCCACTGCACCTTATCTTATNTTACTATTATTATTATATATACTGTTGCTGCCATTATTACTATATACTGCTATTATATTGGTATAATTACTATCTATATAAATATATATGATTGTAGTGGTACGAGGCATCACCAGCACACCTAACTCCGCTGCTGCCCTATTTGGCTTGTCTGCCAATCACCAGGCAGGCCGAAGGGATAAAAGTAGGCCATGTCCCTTCCCCTGACCTCTCGTTTCCTGCCGCTTCGGGCCCTTCCGCTTCCAGGGCATTGTTGACTGCTCCCTTCAGGGCACAGGTAGGCACACCTTAGCGTGCTTTTCGCGCACATTCGCMAGCATTGCATCTCGCTCACACTTTAATTAAACCTTCTGATAGGTCCGGCATCTCCACTGCGACCAAGGCGATACCATCGAGTCATTTATAGCTGCTGATCAGCCATAGGTGAGTTACGAGAGCTCCCCGTTGCTAATTGTTTTTAGCCAGGTGCTAAGTCCTTTTTTTACCCCTCTCCCTCTAACAGTCTGCTAGTCTGCATGTCGTGTGGTGGCTGTCTCCCCCCGCTACGCTGACTCTCCCTCACACCTCTCCCTCTTTGGACCGGACTAAGAACCGGACTTGACGAGTGTTAAAGTAAAGTCAGAGCCCTGAAGTAGCTGAGTGGTGACTGTTGCTTCAAYGCCGGTCTGCTACCTCGCTGCTATCTCGTTGCTATCTCGTTGCTATATCGCTACTACCTCGCTGCTTGGTTCGGGGTCCTGTCGGCTGTCTCCTGTCGACTCGCTTTTTGTTATTGACCCTGTTTCCCTCTGCGTGTGTGTGTGTGGTGCGTGTGAGAATTGACCAAGGTCTGGTGTAGGTTTGGTTATTTCTTATTAGTTTGGGTTGTTTATTGATTTGTTTAGTTATTGTTTCTTTTGGTTTATTGAGTTGGTGTCTCTGACCAGAGACTGATTTTCTTTTCTTTGCGTGATTTCTGATGAATTTCAATATTATACTTCAGTTCTTTAAATTGATCAGTTATTAATTTGCTTTGTTTATTTCGTTATGGGATTTGGTTTTCGTTGTTTGTGAGCCCTTTTAACAAGTGTTTGATTTCCCCCCTAGATTGGAAGACCGACGGTGGTGGTGGTGGTCCCCCCCTGGGTGGTGGTGGTCCCCCCCTGGGTGGTGGCGATTCCTTGTGTGTGTGTGATTTCCCCCATTTAAGATTTCCTTTATGCACGTCACGTTTTGCTGTGTGAGTGGGGTGTTCTCCTTTCCTTTGGATGTCATTCTCCTCGTTGACCACTCCTCCAGCCGGTAAGCCTTCATCCATCAATTCCCCCTTTTTAGTTGGGCTCCTTATTTTGTTTCCTTGTGCCAAACCCTGTGTTCATTTTAACTAATAAATTATTGTATGTGATTATTTAACTCCATCTCCTGCCCTCCCTGAGTGAATGAACCTGAGTGTCCTTGTGTAAAGGTGATTATTGACCTTAAGTATGGGTCCTTGGGCCCTAACCCAAGGTGGCGTTGTTGGTGTTTTAAAAGAAAGATCCTCTGATCTGAACTTAAACTAATTG